TCTTTCATTGTAATTTTTTATGTTGAATCTTGAAGTACATTGGATAGTGTTATTTATAGAAAAAACATATCGGACAAGTGGCCTCCACTGCTCTTCATACACAAACGCATTCCTTTGTCGAAATTTTCTAAGACTATTCTCTGGTACCGTCCTATTGAGACCATATATTGACCACAGAAATATCACCTGATTTCGGTAAACACAACTTGGTTATCATGTCGCGATATCTAGCACCAGCACCTCTCGTTAACTGATTCGAAATTATTGAAGTCTAAATCCTTGCTTTAAATTCTGACCTCGGATCTATCAAACACGAAGTCGAAGACTAATACATTATTTTCACATACCTCCATTTAAACATACAACTGTAAGCGAAACCGAATAAGAGATGATGACGCTTGCATTGGCAAGCACACCACGACTGACTCATCATTTGAAGAAGCGGATTAAGTACTTGAACGAATGGAAGAAATGAAAGAGTTTCGCTCGAGTCTTTATTCTGGCAGCAATGTCTGTGTGCAGTTTCGTCTTTGTCTGTGCCAGCAAAGGAGTCAATATATGATGTCTCCGTTGCTGGTGTTATTGTAAACGAAATCCTTTCGAAAATGCAGTAACAACTCTAACACACCTACTACCAAGGCAGAAATGACAACAACAACAACTACTACATAGCACATAGATGTGGCTTACGTTGTAATGTGGAGGTACATTTGAAAGCCGTTGATAGTTTGACAAGCACTGACAGGCGAGATCGAAAAACCGGGAAGAGAACAATTATAGCAGAGAGGAAAAGAGAGGAGGAGGGATATTAGTGCTTAGTTTTTAAATCAGTGAGGGATTTGCTTCTTTCGAGCAGAAAAGAAAAATGCAACAGTTGCACAGACTCAATTTTATATAAAGACATGCGTACATATGTATGTACATATAACAAAAAAGTTGCAATTAAGCTTTCACACAAATGCTCTAATGCGTACGGTCTTTGTGTTGCATGAACACGTTTTCTATATTCACACACATACACACATACATATTAACATTTCTGTATGCATGCGTAAGTGTGTATGTGTGTAGGTTGCAAGTGTAATTTACGATAGCTGTACATGGTTTATATGTATATACACAGTTGCTTATTCAATGCCACCGAAAGCTGTCTGTCATGCGTATGTACCTATATATACATAGCTAGCTACATATTTACATTTGTCTCTCCCTCAATGGAAATGCATAGGTAGATATGTATGCTCAAATGTATAGACACAAAACTTGACATTTGTACAGACGGAAATTTAATTGCTGTCATTTGCTATTGTAGCTGCGACAGGTAGAGGAGAATATCTCTATTATAGAGGTATTATCTGCTTAAGCCGATTTAATGAGAGTTTTAATAAAATGCCTTTATCAGCAAACACATTCATTTCCACAAATTGCAGTACATATGTGAAATGTGTAAGCTATGTTTTACTGAAGTCACACCGACTCTGGTTATAAAATCAAAATATGGCACTAGACGTGGGTCAAAGAGAACTTTACTTTTCTCCCAAAGGTTTCTTCATCATAAAACCATGCGTATCTTCTTCTTTTTTGTTAGTGTAGGCACCGCTCACGCGATTGTACGTATCATTCTTTTCTTCTTTTAGCACTTTGGCTTCAAATAAAAATACAACAAATCGCTGAGGGACATCAAGTAATCTTCTTCTTCAACAGTCACCAGCCGCCTATGCATTGAATACTTTCAAAACTAAATTGTTTCCACCCTTTTGGAAAACATAATCTCTTCAGCCTAGCCGCTGTCGCTCTATAACGCCAACGCAGGAGAGGAGTAGGAAGATTTCCTACTCGGTCTAAAGTATTACATGTTAGCATGAGCTTTTCATAGAGATAGCTGCTTTTATTGGCAGCTTTGAAATCCAAAAATAGTTGATGCACTTGAATCTTTTTCACACAGACTGAATATTTGGTTAATGTTGGATTTACCAGGTCTGAAGCTGGAATAAAGTGGCGTACCTCATGATTATTATATAGATGATTAACCAGAGAATAATTAGGTTTCAATCATCGATCATGCTTTAGTCTGAATATAATCCGCAAAAAAAATGTTGCATGCCAGATTTTCACCGCCATGCCTGAGCAACTCAGCCAGTAGGCCATTGGCTGTCACTGCTCTGTTATGATTTAAGCTGGCAATCGCTACTTGAACTTCATCATAGTTGGGTAAGTCTTTAGCATCACCATCTTCTTTAAACTCAATATTCTCTGAATGTCAATCACCACATTCCTTCTCACCTTCCATAAAAAAAAATTTTGAAATCTTCTGAAAATTGCTATATAACTTCGTAGAATATTGAAGCATTTCTTATTCTCGTTCATAAAAACTGAACTGAGAGGTCAAGGTTTTTTTAAAACAAGAAGAGGCGGTTGTTCCGTTTTGAATGCATGTCTGATATTTCAATTAGAGTGACGAACCTACTTCGGCAATTGGTTCAAACGCAGTTAAAAGTGTATATATGTATATGTATGTATGGACATCTTAATGATGAAAATTTTTAGAAATTACAAAGAAATTTTCGATGATTAACATTATATTTGTTTTTGTTGTCTAATCCCGCAACAATAAAGGCATCAGAAAAGTTTTTTCCTAATTATAATTGATCTACAGAACTAATTTTTCTACACTTGAAGTGGAATGGAAAAACATGGCTCTATGCATAATATAGAAAAGAAAGTCATTTCACTCAATATAAAATTGACAGAATGAAGTTTTTTGACATTAGAATTTATTTTCATTTAAAATTCAAGATCTTGCCAATTTAAAAATATTTCGTATATTTTATCATAAAAAAAATGCAAAGTCGCCTGAAAATGAAAAACAAAGCATTGCAATTCTGTGTACGTATGCTTTACTTTTCTTTGTTGCTTGCTTAAATTAAAATATTTTAAATATTTCTCAAATATAATATATTAATTTTAGAAGGTTAAATATTTTTACAAATGAAATTGGTAGCACAAAAATTAAAAAAGTCGAAAAATCATTTTATGTCAGATATTTAAAATTTATATTTGAAATTTTTTTTTTAATTTTTCGTTTTTTGTATCACAGTTTTATTATAAGGAAATTGGCAGTTCAGTAGCAAACTCTAGCAACAAAATAAAATTATTGGGGAAAATTGTAGATCCTAATATTTAATTTAAACTTACTGTCTACGCGACCTACAACCACACGTTCCAATCCACAATTAAAAAATAATCTAGTATTTTTTGTAGCTACTTTATCTTACCTATGTATTTATTATATATTCATACTTAGCAATGTATAAATTTTTCGTTAAATTTTATGTCTTCAAGGGGAATGTGAATGAAACAATAAAAAGTTAGCGAAATTCCTCAAGAATGATTGCAGTGCTCATTCAAATCGCTAAATGCAAATGCTGGCACTGTGACACCGCCCTAATGGTTATTGTCAGCCATCATAAGTTTTTTTTTCCTAATTTATAAAGAAAAACAGAAAAACCAAAAACTGTGATAAAAAAGTTTGATTAAATTAAAAAAAAACAGGAAACAGTAACAGTGAAATCAAGAGATGCAAACATACATATATTTGATATAAAATTTTTAAATTATTAAAGTTAAAGAAAAATGTTTTCTAAGCTCAAATAAATCAGGAAATATGCATAATAAAAATTAAATTATCGAAACCTAGGTCTTTATTAATAACAACAACATCACATCAACCAAGGGAAAAAGAAGAAAAACATTCTGTAAATCTTAGAATTAGCCAATCCAACACTTACATATCACAGTTTTTTTATTATAATTTTTTTTTTACAAAGAACTTAAGTAACAGTTTGTTATTGATCTTAATCTATTTGATGAAGAAAAAGGTCTGTAATTTCTTTAAAAAAATAATTCGCCGTTTTTTAATCAATCGAATAGTTGCGTCCACTATGATTAAGCGATTCACTCAGTAAAAGTTATATTATTGACTAAAAGTACTTGAACAGAGAACCGGTCGAAAAGCCTTAAGATACCCAGTTCTATTACAGCATGAACTAAATGAGTATAACCAGCTGTTAGATAATACAAAATGCCAAGTACATGTTATTAGATAATTCATTTAATTAATATTACAACTGGGATATATGATACTTCAGTGTGTGTTTCAAGGTGTTCGCGTATCAAATGTAAGAGCTGCGCTTGATTGGCCACAGCGATGCGAGTATCAATCATTATATTACATATTTTCTACTTTTTATATGTAGCTTTTTTTTAGTTTTACTTAATTCTGATGAATTCTTTATTTTCTTAAAATCTTTTTTTCTTTCATTGAATCGAATGCGTAAAGTGTGTAAGTATAAACACTCACCAGAAAACTGATGATGTGATGTACTAATTAAGATATACACGCTTCGAATTTACATACATACATACATACAATTTTACAGATAATAATAAGCGAGCTACAGTTTGATGACAATCGGAATTGGCTTACATAAATATGTTAACACCAAATTGCAGATGCATGAGAGTAAGTGTGCTATATAACATATGTATGTACTCGTAACTAGGTGAGCTTGCACTGTGAATGATAAAGATTTAACATAATCATATCTGACTACCAACTTCTGACAAGCAATTGCTACTTGTATTAAATTAACATATTTACGTACCTACTACATAAACATTTGTTTGTAAACAGATATCCTCTTAAGTAGATAAGTATGTATGTGCTATTGTTTTCCATCTGATTGCATTATTGCTCAAAGAAATGCAATCGCAGTAGCGAAATTTAATTCTCAAGTCTTAATGCAAAAAAAAAAAAAAAAAAAAAAAAAAAATAGGAAAAATATTAAAATAATAATATTAGCTAAAATGACTAAGCGCAGCATATAAATATAGATCAAATCATAGAGTAAAGGCACAGTTCACCATTAGTGAGTTTTGTGTTCAGTCAACGCATTCTATCATTAAATTTTGCACTCGCTTAACGTACATCGTTACCCAACATGCGTGGATTTACCATCGTTTTAGCCGTGCTAGTCGCACTGGTTCTCGCCTATCAAACGGATGCTGCCGCAATTGATGAATCACCGCAACTAACTGCCGCTGTAGAGGAGCCAAAGGCTCCCACCAATCTCTTGGATGTCGATGCAGGCGCAGAGCATAGCAACGATTCGCCCCGGGGCTCACGTCATTATGGCTACGGTTGGGCATATGGTTGGGGTCACCCATGGAGTTACTATAGCAACAGCTGGGGACGTCCATGGGGCGGTTACGGCTGGGGTGCTTGGGGTGGTTATGGTGGTTGGGGCCGTCCCTGGAACTACTGGGGCTAAGTCCATTGAATTATATTCCAATTCGCTACTTTTGTAAATCGGCAAAATTAATTATGAATTGTGAATTATGAATTGAAAAAAAAAACAAAAAAAACAAAAAAAAAACACAGCAACAGAAACAGAAACAGTTGCAAATTGTAAGTCTACAATAAGACCAACTAGGCTTTTGAATTGTTCCATCTGAATGCGTTTGCATATATTCTATAATAAAATTTATTTGAATTGGAAAAGTATTGCATTTACAATTTGTACATAAATTCATATGTATTGGTAAGTATGATCCTGCAAAAATTGTTGAACAATATGTTCCATTGGAGTAATCCTCTGTAGTCAACTATTGGATCAACATACGTATCAATACCAGCTCATTTTTTGCAAACAAATTATTAATATTAGTTTGAATTTATGTGATAAATTCTATGTTTTATGAACTTTTCAGCAAAGCGGATTGTATTTGGTATTAAAAAATATTTTCGGAAGTAATTTTTGATATATGCTCCATTATATAACTCATTATAGGTACTCTATAGAGTTAATTAATGAAATATTTTGAAAACTAAATTCATTTAGGTACTCCATGGCTCTAGCCTTAGAATATCGCAATTTTAATTGGAGCATATTATTTGTTTGGACTGTGCTTAGGTTTGATTTACTCCATTGTCAGCGTTGTTTGCAGGATTATTCTTTAACTACATTCATTTAATTATACATTCTGGTATACAAAAAGTGATAATAGCTAAAAAAAACGTTATATCTTAAACTCAAAACAATCTACAAGTACGGTTGTTGGCAAAAATTATGATCCTTGACAATGAAAATAGTTTATGGCCTTATTAAAAGGCTTGAACATGGCAGATCTCAAATTTTTTGTTCAGTTTAAGACTAAAGAGGTACGCCATAAAATTCCCACTGGTGGGAGAGAGATGTGAGCAAAGTCGCTTTTAATAAGCACCTGGAAGGCAAGTATGATATTGGCATTTTCGGAACAACAGTTTGAAACCTCCGCAAATGAGCTCTTGCCAAACATCTTCAACACTACCCAAAATATTGTTGATTTTAGTACCCGATTTTCAGACAAATTAATTATTTAAGGCAATTCTCTATTAAACTGAGGTGTACGCTCTGATCACTTACCATCAACTCGAAGGGCTTTCGGTTTTCTTGAATATTAGAGACAAGCCACCACTTTTCGGCACTAAAGAAGCTCACTCTAAAAATAACACAAATTCAGCGATCAGTCAAGAGGAAACGTGGAAACAGAAAGTGAGATAATTTTGCCGTCAGAGAGTAAAGGGGCCGAAAGCGTGAGTACGAGCAGGGTGAGAAAGTGAAGCAGAACTTCCCAAATTTCTTAGTGACAGCTAATTTCCGAGTTTAAATTAACAAATTGGAAAAATCTTCGGTTTAGCTTTTGTAAATTCTTCGAATTTTCCTTTTGAGGGGAGAAGAAAATCTAATATTAAAAATAAAAGCAACACCTCAAGAAAGGGTTGAAGTTTATTTTATATCTGATCAAACATTTTTGAGGATCCACAAACATTTTAAACATCTCATCTGAGCAGTCAGTTTTACTGATTGTGAATTATAGGGTTTTCCAATGAGAGATGGTATTTAGAATAGCTTGCAATTCCGGTAAATGTCACATTTGAAGCAGTAATTTTTTATCATTTGACCAATAAAAACTACATTAATAAGCAGAAATGTCGCATCTGGGTCTCAGGAAATCCATTGTTGAAAAGGCAATAAGTTGAAAAGCCTTTCCATCCTCAACTTGTAAATGTTTTGTGTGGTTAATGGTCGGCGGAGTCATTGTAACTTACTTTTTCGAAAATAATTCACAGATTGCGCTAGCGAGAGATGATTAAGGCTTTTTTAGGACCGGAATTGGATGGCATTGATACGAGCAACGTCTACTCTCCACAATACGGCGTTTTGTATCCCGCATCGTTTTAACTCTCGCAGAGGCGATCGCAATTGGGAAACCGAGATCTTGTAATTTAACACCTTGCGACTTCTTTTTTCCGGACCACGTGAAAGATAAGGTCTACGCCAACGGGAACTTCGATTCAAGACTTTAGAGATGAAATTCGTCATGCTATTGTGGGCATACGGTAGCTACTTTGCGATTTGGTAATGAAAAATTACATAAACAGGGTACGGCCTTGTAAGCGTAGCCATTCCCTCATTTTGGCGAATATGGTTTCTTATTATTATTGGCATATTTTTTTTTATACATTAAAATAAACATAAGATCTTTTACCTAAAAAATCCACTTTTCTTTTATTAATAAATTATTACTTCTTATTGGAAAACCTTGTTAAAAATATTTACTGAGAGTTTCAAAAAAATATTAAGTAAGCTACTTGGCTGTCCCTGATCGAAAAACACAAAACCGAATTAATTATGTTGTGATAGACGGAAGACATATATCCAGTGTTTTTGAAGAACGTACACTCCGGGGACCCAACATCCACTCTGATCATTACCTTGTTGCAGCGAAGATAGACATGCGTTTCTGTGTATCGAAGAACGCCCGTCAACAAACACAAGGAAAGTTCGTCTCAACAGACTGCCGAATGGTTTTTTACTCGACTTGCATTGTTGCTCTCTGGGGACGGCATCGCAAACTCCCTACGTGCAGCTGCAAACGAGACAATTGGATTTCGTAAAGGTCGCAAAAACAGCAAGTACGACGAGGACTGTCGTGTCGCAGTGGAGAGAAAACATACTGCCCACCTCATAACCTTGCGATCGACCACAACACGTAAGGGATGGGGAAGATGCCGAGAGATGAAGAGGAAGCAAGACGTATCTGCGGTCAAAAAAAGAAGGAGGCCGAGATGCGTGAGTATACCAGCTCGAGAAGCTAGCCGACAAGGGTAATGCTCGAAAATTCTACGGAAGATACGACGGCTTACAGATGGTTTCAAGACCGGAGCAGACTCTTGTAGGACACTGATGCCCAAAGTATTTTTAATTTATGGAGAGTATGGAGTAGTGAAAATGGAGAATCCGGAAATGGTGAACCAGAAACCCCAATCAATGACGATGGAAAAGACATTCCATTACCTGATCATGAAGAAGTTTGAATAGCAAGCACCCGTTTAAAAAACAACAAAGAAGCCGAAGCTGACGGCCTACCGGCAAAACACAACGGTGAAGAGCTGGCAAAGTGTATGCATCGGCTGCTCTGCAAAATATGGTCGGATGAAAGCATGCCCGATGATTGGAATTTAAGTGTGCTCTGCCCAATCCATAAAAAAGGGGACCCCACAGTCTGTGCCAATTACCGTGGGACCGCCTATAATGCCCTGTCGAGTTTATTGTGTGAAAGACTGAAGCCCACCGTCAAAAAACTGATTGGACCATGTCAGTGTGGCTTCAGACCTTAGTCAACCATTGACAAGATATTCACCATGCGCCAAATCTTGAAAAGACCCGTGAAAAGAGGATCGACACTCACCACCTCTTCGTCGCTTTTAAAGCCGAATTTGACAGCATGAAAAGGAAATACCTTTACGCCGCTATGTCTGAATTTGGCATCCTCGCAAAACTTATATGGCTGTGTAAGCTGACGCTAGACAACACCAGAAGCGCAGTCAAAATTGGGAAGGAGCTCTCCGAGCTGTTCGATACCAAATGAGGTTTGAAACAGAGTGACTCTTTGTCTTGTGATTTCTTCAATTTGATATTGGAGAAAATAATGAGAGCTACAAAGAGTGCTGCTGACGTACGCCGATGATATTGACATTAATGGCCTCAACAACTGCGCCGTTAGTTCTGCTTTCTCCAGGCTTGATAAAGAAGCGAGACAAATTGGTCTGGTAGGGAACGAAGACAAGACGAAATATCTCCTGTCATCAAACAAACAATCTTCGCATTCGTGACTTGGCTCCCACGTCACTGTTGGCAGTCATAATTTTGGAGTCGTAGATAATTTCGTCTACCTAGAAACCAGCATCAACACCAATAATAATAATTTCAGTCTTGAATCATTTTGGCAACAGGTGCTACTTCGGACTGAGTAGGCAATTGAAAAGTAAAGTCCTCTCTCGGCGAACGAAAAGCTAACTCTACAAGTCCCTCATCGTCCCGCATTCTGCTATATGGTGCGAGAGCATAGAAGATTACAACATCTGACGAGTCGGCGTTAGGAGTTTTCGAGAGAAAGGTTTTGCGTAAGATTTATGGTCCTTTGTTCATTGATATCGGCGAATATCGCAGTCGATGGAACGAGTAGCTGTACGAGTTATACGGTGGCATTGATATAGTTCAGCGAATCAAGAAGCAGAGGCAACGCTGGCTAGGTCATGTGATCCGTATGGATGCGAATACTCCTGCTTTGAAAGTTTTCGATGCAGGACCCGCCGGTGGAAGAAGAGGAAGTGGAAGACCTCCACTCCTTTGGAAAGACCAGATAGAGAAGGACCTGGCTATACTTGGTATTTCCAATTGGCGCCAAACAGCAAATAGAAGGAACGAGTGACGCATTGTTGTAAACCGGCTATAGTCGCGTAAGCGGTGTCTACGCCAGTAAAGTAAGTATTGTAAGTAAATTGAAGAACAGGAGTTAAACTATATGTGGTTTAACAAGATGGTTACATATGCTGCTGTGTGGCATATGGAATATGCAATTTCTTGTATTTGCGATGTCAATCGGCCACCTAGATTATGGGTCTGCACGAAAGACCGTCTTTATACGAATAAGCCTTAAACTCTTGAGTACTTAAAACCAACATTAGTCAGGTTATGGCTTAAATACCACTCAATATGTGTAAAAAAAATGGCCGAAAATTACTTTAAACAGATCAAAGTTTGCGAAATTCGCAAAGCGGTTTTTTATTAATGTAAGTGCTTGACAAATAATGCCTAATTTCATACTTTATAATTAAAAGGAATTTCATGACAAAAAATTAATGCATTTTTTACGATTATTTACGAAACCAGAAAATGTGTAGCACTTTATTATATATGTATGCAGCTAACCGAGTTTTATACAATAGAAGCCAAGTGTAATCTTTTTTGATTCTAACAACTCATGTATAACATTGCATTGTTGTTTGCCAAATATGCGAGTGTATGTTATTTTGAAAAACAATCACGTGTGCTTTTATTATAACATTGATTTTAATTTCATATTTTTCAGTTTTAATTAACCTTGAGTCCACAATAAACTAAGTTCTGACCGATTGATTTCTGATATCAGATATCCATTGTTAAATTTCCCTTTATTTTTGTTTTAATTAATTTTTTTTTGCTTTTTTTATTAATTTTTTTTTGCACAACTGAATTTGTTTCAAGTGCATGAAAAAATTTTTTTAATTACATTACTATATATGCAGTACTAAAAATGCTGGTAATAAAACAGGATTATGTAAATTAATTTGTTTCTCTGCTAATTAAGTCACATATTTTTTCATATCTTTTTTTAATGGGCCGAGAAAGCCTATCAAATTCATCACTGCTCCTTCTATGCCACTTTGTCAGCAAACAATTTGCTATAAAACCAAAGAATTTGAAATTTCTAATCACAGTTGAGAATCACTCATTGACTCAGTAGTGAATACAGTAAATTTCGAAGATATAACAACAATGCGTGCCTACGTTCTGTTATCGATTATACTCATCATAGCATCCATGCAATGGATGATCAAAGCATTATCTGTCGATCAAGGTGAATACGCCTCTGCTCTACTGAATGTCGACGCAGGCGGCGAGCATGGGAATGAATCGCCGCGACTCGTACGTCAATGGTTCGGACATGGTCGTCCGTATGACGGCTATCGTAGAGGTTATGATGGTTATGGATTGAGAGGTGATTACGGCTTCCGTAGACCACGTTTTGGACCCGTCAATTACTATGGCTGAAATCCTAGAATATTTATGAGCAGAAACAAAGCAAGTGTTACATATAATATATACGTATGTAGATACAAATGTATGTGAATAAAAAATTCAATTGGAATTGATTTGAAAAGCAAACATCAAATATTTTTTATTGTTATCGCAATATTATGATTTTATTGAATTTTATGATTTATTGCATTATTCATCTACAAAAAGTCTACAATTATAATACATGTCACTTGTTTATTATAGAAATTGATAGGAAATGCAAAATTTATTACTTCCGCTTTCCATTGCATCGCTTCCTTCAATCAAATCTGCTTAATTTGAAGTGAAATTCGTTGATTTAGAAATTGTGCTATATTGGCATATTTTTGTTCTAGTTATTGAAAAAATTAAAATTTATTATAAAAGGATTCATATGGAGACGATTATGATGGTACATAATATGGCGAAATGTATCAGACATAAGGTCCTATCACTTCTTTGGCAGTGGGTTTCATTACTTCACCTATTGGCGTATAGCCGAATCAACATCCATTAATCCCCGCTTTTCGCTGTCCGACGGTAGTTGGAATACTAAGTTATCTTTCCGAAGAGTTGAGTGTTCCTTTATTCCTCTGCTTCCACCGGGGGTACTGCGTCGAATACTTTCAAAGCTGGACAGCATGACCTAGCCAGCAGGTGCGCAAGGGACTGTAAATCGTTCTGCAGCATTTAGGTGGACGGGAATGATGAATTTATAAAGTTTGGTTTTTGTTCATCAAGAGGGTCCTTCACTTTTCAGCTGACTACTCAGTTCAGTGGGGTGATTCTGCGTTAGATCTTGAGACTGATATTGTAATTGGGCCTAATGCTAAGCCATAAACATAAGAAATTATTCTCCTCGAAGTTATGAATGTCAGCAGTGTCGCGACCCATTTGCTTCGGTTCTTTGTCTGGAAAAGCAGAACTAAAGGTGTGGTTGTTAAAGCTATGATATCAATATCAACGGTATAAGCCTGCAGTTGCATAGTCTTATAGAAGATTTTGCTCTCTATTCCGATTTGCAGCTTGTCAGATACGACCTCTTATACGATATTGAGAAACTTCTTCTCTCGGTAGTTTGTGTAGATTTCTCTGCGGCACACACGTTTCGCTCATTTTCTTTAACTCTCGATACCTTACCCTCATGTTAGGCTGTTCAGTTGGTAGTAGATATAGCACCTGTCTATAGAGGTTATATTAAATTATCACTGATATCCTTTTTTAAAGACCTTGTTGTTATTGCTAATGTTACTTATATACTGTGGACGTTCCATACACTTAAAATAATTGCTTATTTTGACCCAATTTCATTTCCTTTGAATGTTCTCGAGTAAAGGAGTTATTTATTCAAACTCAATACTTATAACAGTCCAATATGAAAAAGAATATATATATGTAATATATATAATTGACGCTTTGTAACAGCTGAAGGAGGCTCCTCCTCGAATTTGTGGTTTGCGTCTCGATGTTTTTCCAATGGAGGGGTCTTCAGTTACTTTAAGTTGCGTTCACACCACTACCACCTGCAAAACTGAAGAAATATCTTATTTAACTTGATTTAACTTTTGCAAAATATTTCGAGGATTAAAGAGATGCTGGAGATACTTTCTCATACATTCGGTTTCAAAACATTAGGATATGAAGAGCTTCAAAGGATATGATCTTTGGGATCTCATATTTGACTGACTCCTACGAGAGCGATGAATGGAAATAATTTTTGTTCGGGTTCTACCCGCAAACCACGGTATGTCAATTCTATATCAATCTTCCCTTCAATAAAGGCTTTTGAGCTTTTTTTTTCAAAACTCCGTCTCGATGCATGTTGTTTTTGAGCTTTGTTTGGGCAATGAATAATAAGTTTGCTTCCCAATTGTCTGTAAAGAGTTTTATAATAATAAAAATACTCGCATGCCCTAAAACACTTAACCAAACTTATGTGATTTCCAACATTTTCATATACGTGTATTTAACATTGAATAACAATCAAAATAATTGACCAAATGCAGCGGTAAATATAAATTGTCAAATGGGGAACTTGTTAGTGTGGCAAATGTTTAAATTTGTTATGTCATCATTTATGTGCGTACAATGACCTGTATGTATTGGTGAAATCCTGCTGCGTTGTGTATGATCGCCATTGACAACAATGGAAACCGACAAATCACAAATTGAAAATTTGCAAATAGAAATCAAATCATTGGAGTGGAAAACGTCATGTGGCTGTTATTATTATCGTTGTTGTTGGTGTTGTTTTTCTGATTTTGTTGTTGCTGGTAGTTGTGGTTAACAATAGCAGACAACTCGGCTGCAATTTTAACAACCCAGCATATAAAAATTCATTTAAATATTCTTAAGTACTCACTGTGTTTTATAAACTAGTCACTAAAAGTACTAGTTCACAACTTGAGGTTTGCTGATTGATATACTACTAGTAATGATAAGTTGAAGTTGGATAAGATAACTTTGAAGTTGGAAACAATAATCTCAGCATTGAATACCTACATCGGATCACTCGTGCCTACAAGTGCTACATTGAACTGAATAATGAACCGAAAATAACAGTCGTCTCTTGGTGAGCAAAAATCAAACTCTTTTAGACGCTCATTATTTCCATCTCATCTCTGTACGAGCAGAAGCATGGACGATAACCACACCTAAGCATACGAAGCTTTAAGTTTACGAGAGGAAATGCTCGCGGGCAATTCATGGATCTTTGTGATTTGGAAATGGCGAAGACCACAAACGTAGGATGGGCTAGCTACGATGGGGACAGTCCATATGAAAAAGTTTTCGACTCAGCAGAAACGATTGCCGTGACTTCACTAACTTTTATGTTTTGTCATCTCAAAGAGTTTCATGAATCAAATAATTATGAATTTTTCGGTTTAGTTTTCGTTTTACCCTAAACTAATGAGCTTATGGTTCATTTTTAATGAGTACACGGCAGGTATATTTATTATTAAAAATTGTAGGCAAGAAAATGTCGTTGATTGTATTTGAAATTTAGTTAAATCGCATTCTGTGGGCATACTGAAAATTTAACTACTCTATAACTAGTACTCAATGTATATTTAACTAAGGGGTATGTTATGTGCGTACGTTCGTAAAATTTATGAGGCATTGAAATTATGAAAGCCACATTTTAAACAAAATCATTTCCATTGCAGCCGCCAATTTCGAACGCAAAAACTTGTCAATGCAATCAAGTGGTGAAAGACTGATAAATCTGAATATTAATGAGTGAACGTTAGATTTAATTTTACAATCATTTAAGTGTACCTAGCTTTTGTTCAAATTTCGGATATCCATATTTCATATACATTATCTACTATATGCGTAATACAATATATGGCGGCCGCGGTAGCCGAGCGGTTAGCATTACGTACTGCTGTTTTGAGGCCAGGGTGCAAACCTGGTACGACCAGCATCCAAAAGTTATAGTAAATTCATTTTAAATTCCTCAGCGATAAGCCACATTTTTCATTCATTCCGCACTCCGAGAGCCCTAAAATAATTGAAGAGAGGCCCCAAAAAGTGGTAAGCCTTTATATCCCTTGAGCAGTTGAAAACTATATATAGCTGAGATACCCCTCAATACTCGTATGTATCAAATAATGACCGAAAATTACCTCAAACGGTTAGGAGTTTGCCAATACCGCAAAATAGATGACCATGTGTTCTCTAAAATATTTTCGTTATGAGTCACTAACATTAAATGAACAACTTGGTATGTATTTAAATACACAGCACATGTAGTTTGACAAATTATTTGCTTGGAGAATAATACTATCTTGTATTTCCACAATAAATTATCATCCTAGAGAGCGTCATCTGTTGTGATTAATTAGTAAATAATATCATTTATTTTATGAACAACTAAAGTTGAATGCTCTGTTTTACTACTGCTTTGCCGTTTGGTGGTCGTGAAGCTCATTTTATATGCAGTATTGAGTTTCTAGTCAAAATTATTGCTAAACAAAATTAAAAACAATAAGGTGTGTTTAAAATTTCAAATAAAAATTTATTTACACACATATATAATAAAGGGTGATTTTTTTTTATCAATTATATTGTTGATTTAAACAGCTGACGCACGTTTTGGGCTTTGTATCACTTTCTAATATCTTCTGTTTGGTCTATAATTTAACAATGAATCGTATAACAGACGAACAAAGCTTGCAAATTATTTAATTTTATTATGATAATTCGTGTTCTGTTAAGAAAGTTCATCGTGCACTTCTTCCGCGCGCGTTTCGAAGCTCTTTTTTCGCTTAATGGGTGTAGATTTTCAGTGATGATCAGCCAGAAGCATTGCAGGAGCCACCAATGCATCCAGAAAAAGTCAATGCTATTTTAAAACTAATGTCTATACAGACAATCCAGCTTCAATTAACGTATTGGAGGACAACATTGAATCATATATTTGTGAGATACCGTCCGATATGTTGGAAAGACTATGCCAAAATTTGAATAAGCGAATGGACCATTTGAGGCCCAGTCACCGACAAAATATGCATGAAATAATCTCACAGCATTAAATTATTTCATGAATTTTCCTGTAGCTCTTAAACAATTACCCTTTACTAATATTTATATATATGTATGTGACATTTCCATCCTTTTTTGGCTGATGTCTAATATCATAGAATTTATTAATTTTGTTAAATGATGATAACTTTTTATGCACGCATTTTTGTTAATATTGTAATTTTTCAAAAAAAAAATTTATTTGTAGAAATTTTCTGACATTTGGAAATCAATCAATCATTCGTGGCATAATTATTTGCTTATGAAATCAGGTTCTCGTTTGAGCTTTTTTCCGCTTCAAATAATGAGCAGAAATTATAAATTTGTATAACAAAATCAAAATCTGCGAACTTAGCAAATCAATAGATAAAAAAAATAACGGTATTTATTTCGTCGTTGAGTAGGCTGCTCATTTGTTGTAACAGCAGCCACGTTGCAAACGTAAATAAAAATTGTACACACACAAAGGGTGTTCCAAAATTTACGAAATATTTAA